CATGAGCTGGTTGTGTGTTCTCTGTCTCTTAATCCCCTGCGCCCTTGTCCCCTCAGTTTAGTTAGAAGCTTTGCCCTGTGAGACCCCAGGCCAGAACATTGGATGGCCTGGGTTTAAGAATTGCCTTTTCTGGGTTATGTAGAAACATAACCTGCTCTGGTACAGATTTTTGAAAACAGTAAGAGCTCCCCACTACTAACTAGTGAGATGTTAAGAACTGCTTACCAGGTGCAGTGGCACTTGCCTGATATCCTAGCTATTGGGGAAACTGAGGCCAACTGGGCAACTTAGTGAGACCCTGACCCAACAAAAAGGGAGGGGGGAGAGGTGGAGGTCAGTGGTAGAATCCATGTGCAAGACCCAGTTCAGTACATTAAAAAAGAAAAAAGAAGCATTGCTAAACTAAAAGTAATGTGTTGCTAGATTCCATGGACAGTTCCAGGTTGGGCCAGGCATGGCGGTTCACATCTATAATCCCAACTGCTCGGAAGACAGAAATCAAGAGGATGGAGGTTTGAGGCCAGCCCAGGCATTTGGCAAAACCTCATTTCAACCAACAAACTGGGCATGGTGGCACACATTTATAATCCCAGCTACACAAGAGCAGAGGTATGAGGACTGAGCTCCAGCACACCTTGGACAAAAACGTGAGACTCATTTGAAAAAGTAACTAAAGCAAAAAGGGCTAGGGGCATGGCTCAAGTGATAGAGTGCCTGCCTAGTTAGTGTGAGGCCCTGAGTTCCAATTCCAGTACTGCCAAAAAAAAAGGAAGAAAGAAAAAATGCAAGTGGCAAACTATGTACTTAGGAAATCTCATCCCCTTGGAGGAGGAGACTTGAGATTACTGCCGAGAAATACCTAGTCAGCACACCTGTATGGGTCGGCACGAATTGGAAAGAGGAGAAGAGGGGCTTGCCTCCCTAATGTAGCTGAGGCTTAGACTGGGGAGCTAGTGAGAGATAAGCTGTCTTTAACTCCACCTTGGGAGAAGGGGGCTAAGGAAAGCAGTCCGGCTCAGGCTGCTGAGTCTCTTCTACTCAGATGCATCAGCTTCCAGTTTTCCAGAGAGAGGCATAACTAGGTTCCAGGGATCACATGGGAGAGGCTGACCACAGCCATGTCTGCCCCCAGAGGAAGGACATCTACAGGTGGGCTGTTTGGGATGGTAGCCACTACCCAACTGAGCCTATTTAAATTCATTAAAATTTAATAAAATTAGGGGCTGGGGATGTAGCTCGGTGGTAGAGCACTTGCCTAGCATATGTGAGGCTCTGGGTGCCATCCCTAACCCTGGGAAAAAAATTAAGAAAACTAAATAAATTCAAAACTAAGTTCCTTAGTCAGAAGTCACATTTCAAGGTCATCCTAGATCCGGGCATTACCACAGCAGAAAGGTTTGCTGGATAGCAGTGGCAGAGAGGAACCAAGGCCTCCTGTAGGGAACGAATAGAAAAATGGGAGTTTTACTGATGCCACTTTTCTGTTAACAATAAAACCAGAAAGGCCTTTGTAAAGGGTCCCTATGAAACATTCAATATCCTGGACATGCTTCAGTAAAATTTCTGGGACACTGGACGGAGGGATGGGGCCTGTCTGGATCCTTACTGAACTCACCTGCTTTGGCACGAAGGAGCCCCCTGTCTCAAGAGGACTCAGAGTGCCACCATCCTCGGGAGGCTAGACAGGTGCCAGACTAACGGTTCAGGCTGTCTGGACTGGGGGCGTTGCTCAACTGGTAGAGCACCTGCCTAGAATCACGAGGCCCCAAGTTCAGTCCCCAGTACTGCCAGGTTGCTCAGGCTGACAAAGTCACTAATGATGCACGTTCATCCTTGTTCACATTTGGTGAGGCAACAGGACTCCCAAACCCAGCCAGCCCCCAGGACTTTCCTGTTTGGCTAGTGGACTGGATCCACTGTCCTCGTGCCTAGGAGACTAGGCACCATCAGCTTATTGGTGGCATCTTAGCCCTGGTGGGAGTCAGGGATGTCCAGAGCACTTCACTGGGCCGAAAAGGTGTGTCTCCTTGACAGGATCACTGTAACTTTCTTATTGTGCTGTATTTGTACTAAAATGAAGCACTGTTATAAGAAAAAAAAGCAAAACAAACATTTAAACACTATAAAATCAGTTAAAACCCAGAAAACCTCTCATTTTCTCCTAGTTTTCCATGTTGGGGTCACAGTTAACTAAAACATCCCTGACTGCAATCTGCTCTTCCTGCACGTGACTTGCACTTGGGTCACATGTCAGTGATGCACCAGGCAAGTCTGAGTGTCACCTCACTCAAGTCCTCTCAAGGGTGGCTTTTAGCTCTGAGTTCAGAGTGGCTCCTCCATTTGCCAGTATTTCCCAGCTGGAGGAAACGAAGAGAGAAAGGGTGTAAGCAACTATAAAGCAAAAATTAAAGAGATTCTAAATTTTTTTTTTTTTTCAGTACTAGGGCTTGAACTCAGGGCCTAAAACATCCCTGACTGCAATCTGCTCTTCCTGCACGTGAACTTGCACTTGGGTCCATGTCGTGATGCACCAGGCAAGTCTGAAGTGTCACCTCAACTCAAGTCCTCTCAAGGGTGGCTTTTAGCTCTTGAGTTCAGAGTGGCTCCTCCATTTTGCCAGTATTTTCCCAGCTGGAGGAAACGAAGAGAGAAAGGGTGTAAGCAACTATAAAGCAAAAATTAAAGAGATTCTAAATTTTTTTTTTTTGCAGTACTAGGGCTTGAACTCAGGGCCTATACCTTGAGCCACTCTACCAGGCCCGCCCCCCCTGCCTTTTTTTTTCTGAAGACAGGGGCTCTCGAACTATTTGCCTGGGCTGGCTTTGAACCACGATCCTCCTGATCACTGCCTTCTTTGTAGCTAGGATTACAGGCGTGAGCCACAGGCACTAGGGTTCTAAAGTAAATTAGAAAGAGTAGATTTTGAAAGAGTGGAGATCGACAGATGACTTCCCGGCAAAATGAAAAGTTTGAGGTAAGTTCTTTGATATCTTTCCATTAAGATGTGTATTGCAGCAATTTCTAAAAAGAAAAAAATTTGAAATGCCTAAAATATCCAGTAAAAATGAAAGGTCCCCTGTTCCCTTCACTGGGTGGAGAATAAGAGGTAAAGACAAGCATAAAGATCTAAAGCCATGTAAGACCCCAAGACGTTATGCAGGATCTATGCACAGAAACAATGACTGGTAAATACTGAAAAATGCCAATTATAGATGGGTGTTTTGTCCCTTATTAATTTCCTAAATACAGTAATATGCTTTTATTCCCTAGATTTAAAAAATTAAATGGTGGAGTAGCTCAAGAGGTGGAGTGACTACCTAGCAAGCATAAGGCTCTGAGTTCAAACCCTAGTACTGCCAAAAAAAAAATTAAGGTTCTAAAATAATTCAGATGCAATGCTTATTACCGGAATGTAGTCTCCGGAAGTTGATTAAGACTTAGGATGCAATGTGAGTTCTTTCAGAAAATAATATTCTGCCTAAGTTGGACCCAACAGGAATGATAGAGCCAACCCCATTTTCTGGTGGAAAGAGTGCTGGGTAGGGAAGGGGTGACGAGGTTTTAAACCCTCCAGTTCATATTCTTGTCATGGGGTATGATGCACCCACTAACCTGTCAATACCACTGGGGCCCACAGCCCTCCCTGCACAGGCTCTATCTGGAGAACGGGGCAGAGGTGACAGGAGCAGGGTCAGGAGTTCTCAGCTGGGGGAAGCAAGAGGGAGAAAGGGTGTGAGCAATTATAAAGCGAAAATCACGGAATCAAGGTAATCACAGAATGGGGGCCACTCACTCAGGTAAAGGAGAAAACTTGTATTGACTGGACAAGCCGTCAGATCGCCTGAGTTCTTAAGCATCAAACGTGAGCCTCAGTTTCTTCGTTTGTAAGTGGGATGACATAGGTTCCCACTTACCTCAGAGGGCTGCTTGGGAATCAAAGGGAGAAATGCATATGGCTGGATTTCATGCCAAGAGTATTGCATAACACTGGTGATCACTGGTAACAAGAACCCACAGGGCTTCCGTCCTCCATGTGCTCTCTGGGAGACCCCGAGACAGCCCAGGGGAGCACTGATTACTGAGCGCAGGGTAAAACACTGTAGCACAAGAGTGCACACCCACACAAGGTAGCACAGAAACACAAGTTTCACATGCTTGAGCTATTCAGTAAACTGTGAAAAGGATACAGTGACAAGAATTAAGCAAATTTCTTTGGGTGATTTTTCCTTCTTATTTTAAAAGAAATCAACAAGTTATAAAATTGGATTCCTATAGACTCCCAAAATGGGAGAAAAACAGGGACTCTGCAAAGTTAATTTTCTTTTTTTTAAACCTGTTTGTATATTTATATGGTCACATTAATTTTTTTTGGTGTTATTGGGATTTGAACTCAGACCTTCACACTTGCTAGGCAGGCATTCTACCAGCTGAGCAACTCCCTAACCTTAATTTTCTTAAGAAGTAAAAAAAAAAAAAAATAGAGTATCTCATGTATGGACTGAAATTTACCAGATGTTTCAGTAACTAAGAAGTAATTAAAATTCTTCCCATCACCAAAGGAGAGAAATAATTATAAGTAACTAAAATTAATCCTTAGATAAGGGTTGGGTGTGGTGGCGCACACCTGTAATCCCAGCACTCTGTAGGCTGAGGCAGAAGGCCAGTATGGCCTATATAGTGAGGCCCTGACTCATAAAAAAATAAAAAGCTTAGGGAAATAATTAAAGGGGACAAGATTTCATTGAAAAGCAGAGGGAGGAGGACAATTTGGTCATGTGGTCCTTGCTCTCACCATTAAACACCCTGTAAACAGCACAGCCTCATCTTTTGGAGGGCTACTTATTCCTCCATTGGAGTATGTACTGAGGCTCAAGTCAAACTGATCCTATTCTTGTGTAGGGCGTCCAAGGAATTATGACCCACAAGTGACTGAAAAGAACACCAGATGTCAAAGAATGTAGTTTCAAGACAAGGAAGTCACTGAGCATTCAAAACACAGTTCACGCAGAAGCACATCGATGTGATGGGAGTTTATCTTGGTGGAGCCTCGGGTGTCTGAGGAAGTGTGTACTGTCTAAAGCTTTCTCCACAGTCCAGACATTTGTAGGGTTTTTCTCCAGTGTGAGTTCTCTGGTGTTTAGCGAGCACTGCACTCTGACTGATGCTTTTCCCACAGACAGAACATCCATAAGACTTCTCCCCAGTGTGGATGCCCTGGTGCTTAAGGAGGTCGGAAGGCTGTTTGAAGCTCTTGCTGCAGTTTTCACATCTGCAGGGCTTCTCCCCTATATGCAGTCTCTGATGTCTGTGCAGGCTGGAAATATGGCAGGTCTCCCCACATTCCTCACACTGGCAGTGCTTCTCCCAGGCATGTGTGTGTTCTCCAGTGTCGGTTCAGATGTGGGCTCTGGCAGAAGCAATCCCCGCATTGTGGGCACGCACAAGGCTTCTCGCCTGTGTGTGTCCTCCAGTGTTTGATCAGGGCAGCCCTCTGGCAGAAGCTTTTCCCACATTCTTGGCATCCATAGGGTTTCTTACCTGTGTGGATGTGCTGGTGTTTGAAGAGGTCCGAGCTGTCTGAAACTCTGGCAACTCCCATATTTATAAGACTTTACTTCATGAAATGCTTCTGTGTCTCAACAAGGCTCAGACTATGGGCATTGTCTCCACTGTCAACAGTTGTGAGGTTTCCACGTGGAACATTTTCCCTCACCTAAACTCTGTCTGCTCTTGGACCCATGGCCATCTCCATCCAAGGGACTCTCTGCTGTCTGGACATTCTGACCAAGAACAAAGCTGGAACTTCGGCCGCTATTCCCAAATTCATTATTTTTAGAGACTCTCGTCTCTGTGGACAGATGTGAGGTGCTGGTGAGTGCTGGCTCTTCAAGAGGACTTCTGGGTGTCAGCGAAATGGGGTTTCTTGGCTGCTTTTCTCCTCCCTTCTCATAGACATCACCACACTCAGCAAACAGGGGAACTTACACTGGGACAATTCTTGTAGCCATGCCTGTGCTGTGCTTCTAAGATTTCTTGCTTTGGAATCAACTCATTCTCAGCTCTAGTTTCCAAAGTTGAAATGTTAAAATACAAATTAAATCCATTTCACCCCTGTGTAGGAAATGAGCAAGTGCCAGCAGAATGACAACCCCAGACCCCTTTAGGTAGTCTCCATCAAACTCCTTAAGTGAAATTATTTTAATTAACCCATCAGAGGTACTCACATTTGCCAGGGCAAACCTTGGATCTTCCCTTTAATTCTAATGGCTTCTATATCTACCCAATCATCTCTTCCATCCCAGCCCCTTGCTCCTGCTGTATAAATCACTGTATCCTGAGAGGTACATTTGGAGGGGCTGTCAAGATAGGCAGAACAGACTTCATTCCATGATTGAAGGGTGGATAAACAGGAGAATTCTATTCACCCAGTGAGTCACAACAATGGTTACGGCGGGTGCTACCACTGTCAGAAGGCAACTTCTTGGTGAGGTCAATCTAGGGGGGCTGGTTGCAAGTGAACAAAAGAATGATGAAGCCGAGTGTGGTGGTACACACCTGTGACCCAGCACTCAGGAGGCAGGAAGACTGAATGTTCAAGGCCTGCCTGGGCTATATGGCAAGACTCTGTCTCAAAAAAATAGTAAAGAGAGAGGGAGGGAAAGGAAGGAAAGAAAGAAAAAGAAAAGAAGACAAAATTTTTCTGCACTTTACTCCCCAGTAAGGCTGAACTAGATAAATTTCTATCAGAGACTTCAGGCACACCTGAGAATAGGGACAGGGACCATGCTCAAATTGGGAATCCAGTCTCCTGTTGTGCTTCCTAAATTGCTAGCTCCAAAGCTTACACCCTCCAAGAAGAAAGGAAGGCGATTTTCATGTCCTCAGACTACTCACAACCTAGGGTGGCCATGGCTTACTGTGGACACTCCATTAAATATTTGTTAAGTGAATGTGTCTAAGTATAAAACTTACCAGCCCAGGCCAAAAACCCTACAGACACGAACAGACAGGAATTCCCTCCTGAAGTAGCACTTGACGACAGGCCCTAATGTGTGATCAGTTGTTTCTGGACAAAATTCTTATGTGTGACTACTAAATACAAATGGAAGTTGAAAGGTCAATGGCATTTTAGGAAAACCTCTAACACAAGTATGTACATTTACATTATATAACCACATGAAACAAAAGAAAATTTTATAACCCATAATTCTCAGGTAAATGAGATATTATATCTAGGAACAAGTAGAATAGGAAAAGACTGTTTAAATCATAGGAAAGCTGGGCACTGGTGGCTCACACCTGTAATCCCAGCTACTCAGGAAGCAGAGATCAGGAAGATCCCAGGCAAATTGTTTGAGAGACCTTATCTCGGAAAAAAAAAATCACAAAAAAGAGCTGGTGGAGTGGCTCAAGTGGTGATAGAGCACCTGCCTAGCAACATGAGGCAGAGTTCAAACTCCATTGCTGCCAGAAAAAAAAAAAAAAAAGACGGTAAATGCCACTATCAGGATACTGGTTACCCTGGTAAAAAAGCAAGGCGGACAAAGTCAGGCAAGGTGCACCAGGCTTTGCCCACAGCCGCACCTTTTTATCTCCATAAAAAAATGAAGCCAATGTGGCTACATATTAAAATTTCACAAACTTCAGAGGTAAATTCACAGGTACTCATTATCTTTTTAAATGCTTCATGTATGAAGTATTAAAAATAGGCTAGGTGGTGCACACCTACAATTCCAGCACACACAAGGCTGAGGCAGGAGGGTTTGGGGTTTGAGGCCAGCCTGGCTACACACAGGGATCCTGTCTCAAAAACAAAAACAAAACAGTAAAAATGAACAAAATTCAGAACTGTCACAACGAATCCCTGCTGTACAACAAGTACATCATAATAAAAATGGGGAAAAAGTGAACAAAAATAAAAAGCTGAATCTGTCACCTAGTAACAGAGGATAGAAAAGTCCTGTCTTGGTCACAGAATAAATGCTTTCGGCTGATGAATGCGAGTGGCAGGCTGGCTCAAGTGTCGTAGTGAGACCAGCCCTCCACAAGTCACCCACACTACAACGCAGCAGAGTAACAGCACTCACTAGGCAGGACTGCACTCCCAAGGGCCTCTGCACGCTCCCTGCAGAAGTCCCTCCGAGCTGTGTCCAGATGCCCCCATTCTCCCCAGGTTAGAGGCACAGCACATCCTCAACAGTCACCAAGCCCTGGAAGGACAAAAGACCCCCCTTTATTATCTGCTGTCCCTGGAAAGCACTACCACTAGTCTCAGGGTGAGGCTGGACTCCAATGCCTGGAGCAAATGCTGAGAATTAAGTAATGACGTGACTGTTGAGTCTTTTTAGTTTCTGCAGGTACTGGGCTTAAACTCAGGGCTTTCACCTTGAGCCACTCCACCAGCCCTTTTTTGTGATGGGTATTTTTGATATAGGGGCTGGCTTTGAACTGCGATCCTACTGATCTCTGCCTCCTGAGTAGTTAAGATTACAGACGTGAGTTTAGGATTACAGATGTGAGCCACAGTGCCTGGAATGGCTGTTGAGTATTACATTGATGGAATGTTCCAAAGGCACCAAAGATGGAGGCTAACATTCTCTCAGAGTCCTGAAAAGGCTTTCTGTGGACTGTAGGGACAAAATATGTGTGATTGATCAAAATGGAAAACTGATACAGATGAAAAATACAAAACCAGAAAGTTGCACATTCCAGTTCTGGCCTTCTGAGACACTGTTTCCTCAGAGACAGCCAATACCTGAGTAGCAGAGGGTACCTCACCCACAGCAGGTGCTCAGTAAAACTTCCTTTCCTTTCCCTTGAGTACTTCATAGTAAGACAATTACCCAACCAGATAGTCTTTTGAGAGGGCCCTGTTGAATTTAAGCTGCCCATTCAGAGGATACAGCCACCATTCTTGGAAAGGGAAGGTTCAAGAACAGGGGAGGGAGATGTTGGTTGAGGAGATGTTGATCTTGGAGTCCTGACTCCAGGACTGTCTGGCTCACAGTATGGTGTGTATTTGTATGATTTGAGTATCATATATTTCCTACCAGCTTATGTGTGGAAGCCTTGACCCCATCTGGTGGTGCTTTTTTGGGAGGTGCTGGAAATTTTAGAAAGTGGGGCCTATCTGGACTGGGAGCCTGTCCTTGGGCTGCATCTTTTCCTGGTCCTGTCCTGTATCCTTGGTCTACTTCCTGGCTGCCATGAGATGACAGCTCTGCTTACCACACCATCCCGCCATTGTGTCCTGCCTCACCACAGACCTAGAAACAATGTCTGCAGTGGACCATGGACTGTAACCTCTGAAATTTGAATCAAAATAAAAAAATCTTTCTTCCCTTCAGTTATTTATCTCAGCAGTGAAAAATGAACCCAGTATGTAAATGTGTTATGTAAATATACATTCTATAAATATGTAAATGTATGCACACTCATATGTGTACATGCAGGTTGAGTATCCTGTATCTGAAATGCTTGGGAACAGAAATACTTCAGACTTTGGAATTATTTTCATTTGGGTATATTTGCATAGATTTTACTGGTTAAACATCTCCAATCTGAAAAGCCAAAATCTGAAATGTTTTTTTTGTGTACTAGGGTTTGAACTCGGAGCCTCACACTTGCTAGGCACACTTGCTCTTACTTCTTGAGCCACTCTGCCAACTAGAAATCTGAAACTTTTTGAGTGTCATCCCCTCATAAAAAAGTAGTACTATCCAAGCATGGCATCCAGGTTGAAAACCCCTTTGAACATGCCTGAATTATGAAATGGCCGTTTTGGAGAGGCCTGGAAAATGTTTTGTGTTTGTTCTTCTCAGACAGTGTCTTGCTTTACAGGGCAGTTTGGATTTGAACTGGTGATCCTCCTGCCTCCCAAGTGCTCAGATTACAGACGTGCACCACCACACCTGACCTTGGAAAATGTTTTAAGTTTAATTTCTCACATTCCAATGAATATGAAGTGGATCTCGCAAAAAGCACATGCAAATTAGACTTCAAAACCAGTAGAGGGGAGCCTGGCGCCGGTGGCTCACATCTGTAATCCCAGTGACTCAGGAGGCAGAGATCAGGAGGATCGAGGTTCAAAGCCAGCCTGGACAAATACTTATTTGTTCATTTATTTATTTATTTTGTGGTGCTGGGGATGAACCCAGGGCTTCTAGCTCGCTTATGCAAATCTTCTACCTGAGATACACCACCAACCCCTTCTATTTTAATTTTTAAATGTCAACTTCACTAACGCACAAAACACAAACAATGCAGACTTTCACGAGGAGTTTGGTCCTCGTTAGGAAGTTATTTATCATGCATGATTTTAGGCGCCCTGAAAAGTGTCCTCTAACAAACTGTAAATGCTTCTTCATCTGTTTGCAGAGGCTGTGCTTCCAAATGCAAGTGGAAATCGTTGCGACGGGCTTCTTAGCAGTGGTGATAGGAACTCTTGTTCTTCCTGTCGGCTAGCTTTGAAAACAGCGAAGGATTTGGAAAAGGGTTAGGCATCACAGTAAAGGGAGAGATTATTAACGATGAGTCCCCCCAAACCCTGGCCAGTGAAGCCCTGCTTAACCCCACAACTATGTCTCTTGGCAGTCAGAAGGCTAGTGTTGCCCGTTCTGATAGGCTCACGAGACCGAGGCTGCAAGCAAATTCCGTACCCAATTGGCTAGACTGCGTGGCCCGCGCGGAGCTTGCTGGGAGATGTAGTCCCCAGAGCTATAGGAGGCGGAGACTCTCTTGTGTGACGTTAAGATTTCGGGCCAAGGGAGCCGACTGGGGCAGTGAAGAGGTGGGTGTGTTTGGAAAGCGGTAGGGAGGAGTGGCGAGAATTCGGGTGGAAAAAAACATCAAAGGGTCCAAAATTTAAGATGAGTGAGGGTTGCGGGCTCGCAGAAAAGAACGGTACGGTCCAATTTCGAGTTAGGATGCAGGGCGTTGGGGGTGGAGGGGAGTCAGGTCCACGGCCAATCAGGCACTAGCAATTGTTGTCCTAACCCCCTGAAGCCCCGCCCCCTGTCCTCACTCCAAGAAACGAGGCGGAGCCCCTGTGCTTCGTGACTTTGGGAAGGGGTCGGGAAGAAGGTGGCTCTTTTTTTTTTTTGCCGGGTTGTAGTAACCTTGTACCTATGGCTTGGGGGCCTGGGAACTGGCAGGGCTGTGGAAAGCGGGACGGTCCGGGTCCGCGCCCGGTCTCTTCGCTGATTGGTCATTTTGCCCACAGGGGGCGTGGCCAGAGCAGGCACCTCCCACTCGCTGCGAGGCGAGGACCTCCGGGATTCCTAGAGAGGACTCGGAAGTGCTCTCTGGGGTGGGATTTATGGCTTAAACTTGGACTTGCTTACTTCCGGCGAGGAAGTGTTGGGAAGTGTCGGATACCGTGTTCTCTCCGTTTGTAAGAACTCCCATGTTCCAATCCTCGCCTACGGAGAGCTTGATCTTTCAGGAGGGAGCTCCCCGGGACGGGGCACTGGAGGGGAGAGGATAGGGCTTTGTGTCTGGACTGGGGTCTTGTCCCTAACCTTGATCGTCCGGACCTTTCTCTGTGTCTTGGGGTCAGGGACGATTCTGAGGAATCCAGGTCTAAATCTGTACCTATAACCCTACTTCTTTTCGGGACTAATGGAAGTCTCCCTTTCGTCTGTCAGCCTCTTGTGGCGTCAATGACAGGATGACAGGATCCGTTATGACCATTTTAATGTTTTGGTTTTTTTTTTTAATCCCTCTTCTGACTTAAATTTGGTTTATGGCAGAGAGAAGGAACGGCTCCGTCTGGACTAGTTAATAAATCTTGTCCCATTATTTATACTGAAATGTTTTTTTCACCTCCAAAACTGTGTTTTAGGGTGAGCCTGATACCAGATTTTTTTTTTTTATGGCTGTTCTTTTACCTTTTTCTAAATCTCGGAGGTCTTTCCTACCAGTCATCATTTTATGGGCAGAGTGACTGCTGCCTTGCAGTCAACACTTAAGTGAATTACTTTTTAAATTTTTTTGCAGTACTGGGGTTTGAACTCAGGGCCTACACCTTGAGGTACTTCGCCAGCCCTTTTTTGTGATGGGTTTTTTTTTTTTTAAATAGGGTCTCAAGAACTGTTTCCCTAGGCTGGCTTCGAACCGCGATCCTCCTGATCTTTGCCTCCCGAGTAGCTGGGATTACAGGTGTGAGCCATCAGCCCCTGGCTCTAAGTGAATTACTTTGAGGAGTGGTCTTCTTTAGTGTAGATGACATCCTTGCAATCTCTTTGGTAATCATGATTCCCGATATATCAGTAGGTTGTACAGCTACAAAAGTGCCCTTCAGAAGATCTTAAAGAACAGAAGACAAATTGGGTCCGAGTAACACAGCCAGCCTCTAGAAACTTCTCTGAGTTGGAATGATAATGACAGAATCCCGGGAAGTTATAGACTTAGACCCTCCAGCTGAGACTTCCCAAGAGCAGGAAGACCTCCTCATAGTGAAAGTGGAAGAGGAAGATTGCACCTGGATGCAGGAGTACAACCCGCCTACTTTGGAGACCTTTTACCAGCGATTCAGACACTTTCAGTACCATGAGGCACCAGGTCCCCGGGAGGCGCTCAGCCAGCTCCGGGTGCTCTGCTGTGAGTGGCTGAGGCCTGAACTGCACACTAAGGAGCAGATCCTGGAGCTCCTGGTGCTGGAGCAGTTCCTGACCATCCTGCCTGAAGAGTTCCAGGCCTGGGTCAGAGATCATCACCCCGAAAGCGGAGAAGAGGCCGTGGCTGTGATTGAAAGCATACAGAGTGAACTTGAGGACCGCAGACAACAGGTGAGTGGAGGAGGAAGCAGACCTGTGCAGGGAGGAAGACAGGAGTGAGTGAAGGAACTGCTCAGCAGGGGTGAGAGTCTTGGCTCTCTGGTGCTTTATTCACACTCTTTTCTTCTCCTGGGATTAGGTACATTGTGGAGATTTCCTGCCACTTCAGCAAGGAGAAGCAATATCCAGTGTGTTAACCTGTAGAAGACAATCTGCGATTTTATTTATTTTTAAGATTGTATTTGTTTTTTGAATGACATGATACAAAATCCAAAAAAAGGTACTTAAGGTTGTAATGAAAAGTAAGTTTTCCTCCATTCCTTATCTCCCAACTGCTGATTTTTCTGTCTGGAGGCAGCCATTGTTAGATGCTACTTATGTATCTTTCCAGAGATATACCGTGTTCGTTTATATATTAACATCTGTGTTGATGACATTCTTTACAAAACACACAAATGGTTTGAAGTCTCTGTGCACTTTTGCCTCTTGCTTTTTTTTTTTTTTTTTTTTATAATTTCTCTTCATTTGTTCCATGTAAATAAAGCTGCCTCACTCTTTGAAACTGCATTGTATTGAACCACCTTCGTCCATTTCATTGTATGGATGTACCGTAATTTATTATCATAGGCGTTTAAGTCGTTTCTGAATGTTTACTGCCTATTATAATGGACATCAAATATATAAGTGATTGCAGAATGGATGCTTTGAAATAAGACTTCTGGTTTAGAGGCACATTTGCAATCTTGTTAGCTGTTGCAGATTATACAATATAATTCCATCAACAATGAGAGATTTTTTTTTTTGGCTGAGTTCTGGGATTTGAACTCAGGGTCTCATGCTTCCTAGGCAGGTGCTGTACCACTTGAACCACTCCACCAGCCCTGTTTTGTGGTGGGTGTTTTCCAGACTGGGTCTCGAGAATTATTTGCCTGAGTTGGCTTTGAACCATGATCCTCCTGATCTCTGCCTTCCTGAGTAGCTGGGATTACAGGTGTGAGCCACTGCTGCCTGGCCACAGTACATAAATCTTTTTTTCCCTTATCTATTAGAAACAGTAAGCATTATGTTTGCCATGTGATTTGCATGTATTATTTTTCCAGTTTGTGTTTGTCTTTGCTTAGGAAACTTAAATTTTTTTTTTTTTTTTTACAGTCTGGGGTTTGAACTCAAGGCCTACACCTTGAGCCACTCCACTACTCCTCTTTTGTGAAAGGTTTTTTCGAGATAGGGTCTTGCAAACTATTTCCCCACATTGACTTTGAACCTCGATCCTCCTGATCTCTGCCTCCTGAGTAGCTAGGATTATAGGCATGAGCCACCAGCGCCTGGCTTCTTATTCTTTTAATAGCAAAAAAAATATCATGGAGTCATGGGTTTATAAGAATTTGAAGTTTGAGCTGGTGGAGTGGCTCAAGTGGTACATTGCCTGCCTAGCAAGAGTGAGGCCCTGAGTTCAAATCCCAGTACCACAAAAAAAAAAGTTTGAAGTGAGCTGGGTGATTTTTTTTAGAACCACTGCTTTAAGTGTAAGGAGTTGGTCTCTTCATTCTCGCCCTCTGGGTATGGGATTTTTAGAATTCCAGAACATCTCAGACTCTTGTTCTGGGTTAACTTACTCTGTGACTCATGTAGCAACAGAGTGGTGGCTACTGACTTGCGGCCAGACCCTTCATCTGCGTTGAAGGACTGTCTTGCAGATGGGAAGGGCCACGGTTTCTATTGCTTTTTCTTGAACAAAGAAAAGGCTCATTTTTAACCTGACTTAAAATATGAATGGATAATTTCCTTACTGTTTTACAGAAGTAAATATTCAAAAGCATATTTTCAAAACAAAAGAATTTGTTTTTCAGTGCTGGGTATCAAATCCAGGGCCTCCCCCATGCCAGGCAAGTGCTGAACCACTAGGCTAACCGCCCCCACCAAAGGATCTTTTAAATAGCAAATCTACAGCAGCCTTACACGTTTATCTCTCTTCATTGTGATATGCATGTCAGTTTTGGAAGGGACAGGATAAGAGTCATTATGTGGTAGCAGGCAGAGCTGTGAGGCCCATGAAAGGGATTTCCCAAGGAACTCTGTAGGTCACCTGCTGTGCTTACCCTCTGCCCACCTTCTGTACCTCCAACACTGTTCTCAGTCTTATCACCTGCCCCATCCATCCTCCTCTTTCTTCCTTTGTCCTGGTCCCAATTGGCCTCAAGGGCTGCTTTGGTTCTTTGGAACCTGGGTGCCCATTGACCTACTTGGAATCCTCTGAACCCTTGTTCTGGCTGGTGAAGTGGCTCAAGTGGTAGAGCTCCAGCCTAGCAAGTCTGAGGCCCTGAGTTCAAATGCTATACTGCAAGAAAAAAAAAAAAAAGTAATTCTGAACCCTTAATCTGAACTGGTCCATAGAGACTCAGACTTTCAGACACACTGGTATTTACCACAACTAGTTCACAGTACAGCTGCCTCTTAATGTTACACCCATAGCACGTTTTCAGTCCTAGAAGGTTAAAACTGAAAATGCTTTGAAAACCAAAGAAGGTAGGAGGGTGGCAGCTGTATCGTTGTGCAGGATCTTAATACCTTCCAGTGTGCTAGGAGCCAGTGGTACCTTCCTGAATAGGGTTCTACAGAGTGACTAATGGTGCATAGTACACCCCAGGGTTGAGCACAGGCCAAGAACAGGAAGGTGGAGGCTGCTAGCCCTGACTTGAAATAGCTTGTCTTAGTGTTGGTCTGTCCAATTATGACTTCTTGCATCCTACAATGAGTATTCCAGCCTCCTTGCTCTTCTCTCCCTTTCACTAGCCTGTCCCCACCTTCCCTCTGGTTCCTGGATTGTATAACACCCTCCTTGTGGGAAGGTTGGCTAATGCTCACTCTGCCTGGGTCACCGCTTCCTCTTTTTCCTCTGGCTGCCTTCTCATCCTTTACAGGTTTACTTAAGTGACATTTCCTCAGGAAAGCCTTCTCTGGCCATCCAATCTAAAGTAGGTCTCACCTACTCTGTCTATCTCATGGCAACATGTTTCTTCCTGTCTTACCCTGTAGCACAGTGCAATATTATTTATTTGTGTGTCGATGAGAGTAACCCATGTTTTCTAAGCTGCTGTATAATTAGTGCCTGGGTCATTGTGGAGGTGCACTAGATGTTTGGCAGGGAACAAATGACAGTCCAATTGGACTCTGCTGGCTTGTTCTCCACTGTATATAACTATGCTGATGGCTTGTGGTTGTGGTTGTTAGATTATTACTCATCCTGAAGCGCTTCCTCAGAAGATAGGACCATCTGGAGCAGCCCAGGAGTCCTTCAGTCATCAGGTCCTGTCTGGGGACCCCAAGCCTGAGCAAGAGCCACAGAAGCCCCATCTTCTGGAGGATAATGGTGAGGTTTATTCACATGTGGGACACACATGGCTAGAGCATGGCACTGTGACCACATGGGCAAGAGAGAGACTGGGGGCTGGGCAGCCTCTCTGCAACCCTTCAGGGCTGGAGGTTGGGCAGGGTTGGAAATGTTGGGTGGGCTCCTGGTGTTAAGAGAGGGGGCGTGTCTAGGGTGCTTGGGACTGTCGCACACTTTGGTTTGTAAGCTATAGTGAGGGCTGGGAGGGAGCTCATAGATAGAGGGAATGCCTAGCATACAGAAGGCCTGGTTCCAGCCCAAGCACAGAAAGAAGAGAGAAAGGAAGGTGTGACAAAGCCATGATGGTGATAGCTCTCACTGAGTTCAACCTGTTCAGAGATCTGGAAAAGTCTCTTGTGGCTGGCAGGGTGGCTTAAGCAGTACAGTGTCTGCTTAGCAAGTCAGGGGTCCTGAGTTCAAACCCCAGTACTGTGAAAGAAAGTTAAAGTTGTGTTCAGTAGACTTTTTTTTTTTTTTTTTTTTTGTGGTACTGGGGCTTGAACTCAGGCCTTCACCTTGAGCCACTCCACCAGCCCTATTTTTGTGATGGGTTTTTTTGAGATAGGGTCTTAAGGAACTATTTGCCTGGGTTGGCTTTGAACCACAATCCTTCTGATCTCTGCCTCCTGAGTAGCTAGGATGACAGGTCTGAGCTACCAGCACCCGGCAGTCTTTAATAATCTTAATCAAACTGTTATCCTCATGTTAGAGAATAAGAAGCTGAGTTCTGGACAGGTGGAGTAATGGTCCAAAGTCACACAGCTATGAAATAAACAGCTGGAGCCTGTACTTGAACCCTCTCCTGAGCTATGTCACCCTTGCCTTTCCACCACGATCTTCTAAGCACTGACTGACATTTGAAATCACTCGTGTTCCTCCCCTCCCCACTTCTCTATCTCATCAGATCAGGTTTCCTTTTTCTGCTTCCAAGGCGTTTCTTGACCTGTAAACCAGACCTTAGCCAATTTCCTTATCTCAGCAAAGTTACTGTTCATTTAGATATGGTCTATTCAGCACGTTCTTCAAGTTCTGTTTGGAATCTGTAGCCATTCCTGAGTTAAATCCCTGTTTTGGGCTTCCATCTCTACCCATCATTCCATTCCCGCGTTTTTGGGTCATTGCTCATTTCCTAGTCCTCGTAAATGAGCCTTGGAAATAAGCAGGTCATATGTTCACATTGGTTCTCAAGACAGAGGAAACCTTAGTCAGGTTGGAGATTACTACCAGGTCTGTCTGTCTAAATCAGGGCGCACATTGACAGTGAGATCCAGATGTGCCATGAATCTTAGAAAAGGACCAGCAGAGGTGACCATGGGGTCAGAAGACCCCACCTGCTGCTGTTGCTTTTTTATTTTATTTTTTTAGTAGTGGGATCGGAATTTGAACTCAGGGCTTCATGCTTGCAAAATAGCCACTGTACCTCTTGAGCCACACCTCCAGTCCATTTTGCTCTGGTTATTTAGAGATGAGGGTGTGGCAAACTCTTTGCCTGGGCAGACCTTTAACTGTGATTCTCCCAATCTCAGCCTCCCAAGGAGCTGGAATTACAGGTGTGAGCCTTGACACCCAGTCCCAGCTTCTGACCATGCTATTCACTCTGCCTGCAAAGCTTACTGCTCCTGCCTGCCCCTCGCTCTTTGTGAGCCCCTGCCCATGATCCAACCACCTGGAGCTTCAGTTGTAGTACTCCTCACACTGTTGTAAGGAGGGAGGCCTTATGTGCCTGTCTTCCCCATTAGAAAGTAGTTTATGAAGGCAAGAGTTGTTTTATCTGCGTGTTCCCATGACACACAGAGTAGACCCTAATACATGCTTCTTGACTGAGAACTAACCGTAGAGAGACCATGAACTGAGATCTTGCTGACCCATGTTGGGGTCCTAGGAATACCTGGGAGCTCATTAGAAATTCAGAATCTCAGCTGAGACAGGAGGACTGAGAATTGGAGGCCAGCCTGGGCCACAGAGTGACACCCTGTTTTTAAAAAGAGAATAAAAGGCCTGGGTGTGTGGCCTGTTAGAGCACCTGCCTGGCAAGGGAAGGAGGGAAAGAAGGAAGAAGGGAGAGAGGAGGGCAAAGAGAAAAAGAAGAAACAGAAAATCTCAGGCTGCACCATGGGCCTCTCAAATCAGAACCTGGCCTTTCCTGAGAGCCCCCGATGGGTGCCTTGAATGTGAAAACCTGTGACGCCCTGGGCTCCAGGGATGCTTCAGCTCCTGGAAGACGTGGACAGATCGTTCTTGTTGTTCCAAGCAGCGTGGAGTGCAGGGAAATGGCCTAGCAGGAATTAGCCAGAACAAAGCAGGAAGTCTGGTTTTGGGGAGGAAGGAGGAGTTAGAGGGTGAATGTGGGCGGGGCCATAATGCAGAGGGTCTCTCCACCCCCTCCCACTGGGGTTTGAACTCTGGGCTTCATGCTTGCCAGGCAGGGCTTCTACCACTTGAGCCAAGGTCCCAAACTTTTTGTTTTTAGTAAATTTTCAGATAGGGTCTCATACTTTTTGCCCTGGCCGGCTTCGGACCTCCTTCTCCTTCCTGTGCCTCCCACATGGCTGGGATTATAGGTGTGTACCACTATGCTCAGCTGTAGAGAGTCTTGAAAGGCAAGCAGCTGGCTGTGGTGTGGCAGAGGTCATTGTAGACTCATGAGCAAAGAGGCACCTGTTGATGTAGAGAACCTGACCGATGTGTTCTCCCTCACAACTCTTTTTCTCTTCCTTCAGCCCTTCCTGTTCTTCACATTCCTTCCCTTCCCCTGAAGGACAGCCAGGAGCTGACAGCATCACTTCTCTCAGCTGGGTCCCAGGTGAGCTGGCACCCCATTTGCCCTCCGCGAGGACCCACAGTTCTTCTCTGCCTTTATCCCCAGTCTTTATCGGGAGGTCTGTTTCTTTCTGTAGCAGCCAGGCCCATGTGGCATTGGCACCTTCCTTCCCATTTGTCTGTTTCCTGTCTGCCCAGCAACTTCCCTCTCTCAGAGGCCTAGGCCCTGCCCTGAGTTCTTTCCTTAAAGCTCCCAGATCCTCCCCCTTGCTCCATTTGAACATGGGCTGTGGAAATTTAGCATAGATCTCCTGTTTCAGAAGTTGGTGAAAATTGAAGACGTGGCAGATGTGGCTGTGTCCTTTATCCTGGAGGAGTGGGAACATTTGGATCAGTCCCAGAAGTCTCTGTATAGGGATGGCAGGAAGGAGAACTATGGGAGTATTGCTCCCATGGGTAAGAACCATTTTACTTACATGGATTAGGATGTCTTAATTTCTTTATCTTGCAAAGGGTTATTTCTAGCACATTCTCAAAAGCATGTATTTTTCATTGCTATGACTGATTTTTCTGGGAGAGTAAGTCAGCCTGTTTTTTTCTTACTCAACTTATTCTGATTTTTTTTTTTTTTTTTTTTGTGGTGCTGGGGTTTGAACTCAGGTTCTACACCTTGAGCCACTGCACCAGCCCTTTTTGTGATGATTGTTTTTTTGAGATAGGGTCTCATGAACTATTTGCCTTGGGTTGGCTTTGAACTGCAATCCTTCTGGTCTTTGCCTCCTGGGTAGCTGGGATTACAGGTGTGAGCCACTGATGCCCAGCTTATTTGTATCATAATAAGGGCATGAATGAAGACTGATTGTACTGGGGGCAGGGATTGCCATTTTACAATCCACAAAATGCTCTCTCTTTACTTTTTTAAAGTAAAAAGAGAGTTTAAAATTCATAGGTTTGATTTTTAATAAATTTTAGTAGTTCTTACAGTCCTTAGTAAATTTGATAGTTCTTTTTAATTTTTATTTGTTTGGTGGTATCAGGATTTTTTTGTTTATTTGTTTGGCAGTACTGGGGTTTGAGCTCAGGGCCTCATGCTTGCTAGGCAGATGCTCTACCACTTGAGCCACTCCACCAGTCCTTTATTGTGTTGGTTTTTTTGAGACAGGGTTTTGTGAACTATTTGCCCCGGGCTGGTTTTGAACTGCGATCCTCCTGATCTCTGCCCCCCTGAGTAGCTAGGATTACAGGCATGAGCCACTGGCACCTGGTGCCCAGCTTTTATCCGTTTTTTAAATACAGCGATATACCTGGAGGATTAGGATGGAAATGTTTTGATAGAGCTGCTGAGAAAAATGAGTGAGAAAAGGAGCCCACCACAGGAAGCACAGACAGAGCACTAGTGAATTTGAAGATCACGATTTTGTAAAGTGCCAAATTTGCCAGATTGGGCATTTTTACATACCCTTCTCCCCTACCCGCTGCATTGCTCAGCTGCCTGGCATAGCAATGAGCAAGGACAGTTCTCCATCAAATACAGAAATGTTGTCAGAAGCTGGTCGCACACACTAAGAAGAGGCAGGGAAAGCCAGGTGCAGTGGCTCAGTTGTATTTCAGCTACTTGAGAGGTCTGAGATTGGGAGGATCCTGGTTCGAGGCAGGCATGGTGGCATGTGCCTACTGTCCCAACACATGGGAACCATAGGTAGGATGGCAGTCTAAGACTGGCTCTGGAAAAAAAATATGAGACCATACCTGAAAAATAACTAAAAAAAAAAAAAAAAGCCCAAAGGGGCTGGGGGCATGGCTCAAGTGATAAAGCACCTGCCTAGCAAGCATAGGGCCCCAGAGTTCAAACTCCAGTGCCACCAAAAAGAAAAAAACTCAGTAAGAATATTTAAGAGTATTTTTTGAACTGTGCATGGTAGCACACATCTGTAATCCCAGCACTCAGGCAGGAGGATCATGAGTTGGAGGCTAGCCTGAATTACATAGCAACACCTTATCTAAAAAACCAGAAGCATATTGTATTTAGTAGTGCACAGATATTTACCAGAAGTTTCTGTACTGTGCCAAAAGGATGACATTTTATTGACTAGAGGGTCTGCTTCCCAGTCCCATTCCTTTGAACTTTTTTTTTTTCCCAGTCCTGGGGATTGAACCTGGGGCCTCACACTTGCTAGATAAGTGCTCTGCCACTTGAGCCACATACACCCTAGTCTTTTTGATTTTAGTTTGTTTTTCAGATAAGAGTCTCAAGTGTTTGCCTGGGCTGGCCACTGACCATGATTCTCCTATCTCTGCCTCCTGAGTAGCTGAGATTACAGGTGTGTGCTACCACGTGCAGCCCAGCAGGTCATTTTATAAAATCATACCTTCATAGTACATGTTGCTTCCACTTAATAATCCTGTATCCCTCTGTCATTTTCTTCTTTTTTTATTTTGGTTAAAGTTTATTCCAGCTATAATTCAGGTTATTCTGACTTTAAGGTAGCATCGCATGGCATATTTTTGAGTCCATTCCCGAGATATTTTGTTGTGCTTATCTGTCTGTTTTATAGATCTGTGCAGTCTCTGGCACTAGGGGTCATCTGGGTTTGGATCACATAGCAGTGAGCAAGTGGATAAAACAAGTTTAGAGACAGTTAAAGCAGGCGACCACTGTGATCTTAGCATATCGAGACAAATGCTGCCATTACTGCTCATATTTGGATGATAAATTCTTGTTGAAAATGCATCCTTGGGTGGTTTGAAGGGGTAGTCTGTAGGAAAGTGAATTGTCAAAAAGAATACACCGCCTCGATGTGGGCTGTCATTAGGTCCCGTCCTGTAGCTTGCCAGTGACACAGATCATCCCCACCTGCACCTGCAGAACCTGTGCTGGAGGGCCACGGGCCAGATCCCCGAGTTCCTCGTAATCCGTGTCAGCGCCACAGCCAGTGCTTCCGCAGGGCTCCCCCACCTCGGTGCGCGCTCGCGTCCGGCCAGCGCCCTTGCCTGCGGGCGCGGGGAAGTGGCTCGTGGCCTCCCGCGGGCCCTGCCAGACGGGCCTGGGGCTGGGGAAGCGGATCTCGCGAGAACCCGGTAGCCGGCTGACCTGAGCGGTGGCTCTGCAGTGGCTTGAGGGCAGTTCTGTGCGCTCTTCCCGGCCGGGGGCCGCCCGAGCCGCAGGTTCTCGCGAGATTCTCTGCCCCCCGCCAGGGTCCTGTCACTTTCTTCCGATGCAGCCAACTTGCCCTTTCCCTTGTCTGATTTCAGAGTGTGAGTCCAGCGACAGCAGTGGAGGGTTAGTGGTGAAGCAGACGACCAACGGCGCGGACTCGCACTGGACGGCTGCAGGAAGTGCAGAAGGAAACGCTCCCCGGAGTCAGGGCTTTGCAGACCGCAGTGACCTGAAGGGCATGGCGCAGAGGTGGCGGGTGAACCCCACGGTGGGGAAGTCGAGGCAGAACGCCTCCCAGAGAAGCACTCTTGGCCCGAGTGCAGACGCGCCCCGAAAGCAGGGCACGAGTGGTGAGAGAGGTCACCGTTGTGGGGACTGTGGGAAGTTCTTCCTCCAGGCGTCCAACTTCATTCAGCACCGGCGAATCCACACGGGAGAAAAGCCCTTCCGGTGTGACGAGTGCGGCAAGAGCTACAACCAGCGCGTGCACCTCACGCAGCACCAGCGGGTCCACACCGGCGAGAAGCCCTACAAGTGCCAGGTGTGCGGGAAGGCCTTCCGCGTGAGCTCCCACCTGGTGCAGCACCACAGCGTCCACAGCGGGGAGCGGCCCTACGGCTGCAGCGAGTGCGGCAAGAGCTTCGGCCGCCACTCGCACCTGATCGAGCACCTGAAGCGCCACTTCCGAGAGAAAGCCCAGAGATGTACGCGTGAGCAGTGACCAGAAGCCAGTGTCGTTTTATTAGCTTAGTACGGTGGGTCAAGATGGCTTGGGATACGGGAAGGCGTAGGAAGGCACAGAGACCGTGGTGTACTTTATTCTTTTTTTGGGGTGTGCTAGGATTTCAACTCAGGACCGTGCACTTGCTTCACAGGTGCTCTACCAGTTGAGCCACTCCTCCAGCCCTTTTTGCTCTCTATTTCTGCTTCTCACCACCCTTGGGATGACAGGTATGCACCGCCATGCCCAGCTTTTTCTATTGGGATGGGGTCTCATGAACGTTTTGCCCAGATTGGCTTGGAGCCAAAGTGTTCCCAATCTCAGCCTCCCACGTAGCTGGGATGACAGGCTTGAGCCGCCTTGCCCAGCTGTTGGTTGAGATGGGGTCTTGAGAACTTTCTGCCAGGGGTTGGGACTTGAGTCTTGATCCTCCTGATCTCTGCGTCCTGAGTAGCTGGGATCATAAGTGTGGGCCATCGGCACTCGGCTCATTTATTTTATTTTAAAATGATAACAGTGATGCAGGAAGTTTGAAGGACAGGAAGAGGGAGGAAAACCTCAGCCAGACTCCCCACCTCCTCTGAACAGCACTGTCACTTTCCACAGTTACTCTTTATAGTGTCATTCTCCTGGGTGCGGTCAAGTGTGCACACACCTTGCAGTGTGGCTCGGCTGCCTTCTGGTTATTTCTAACAACTGCCATTGCAGTGACATTGTAATTTATCCTTAGTTGTTGACCTTCCAAACTTTTCTCTTTTGTCCTGATAACTGTTACACCTACACATCTTCTTTGTTTAGGATTATTTCCTTATAATAGGTTCCCAGAAGTGGAATTAGTAGATGAAAAGATAAAAATATCTTTATGGTTCTTTTGGCTTTTCTAGATTTGAATTCAGGGCCTCACCCTTGCAGGGAGACACCATGCCACTTCAGTAACCCCCTCTCCCTCACTGCCCTTTTTGCTTTACTTATTTTTCTGATAGGGTTTCGTTTTTGCCTAAATCCTCAGACTGATTCTCCTATCTATGCCTCCCACATAGCTGAGATTAGACATGCCCACCACTGTGCCCAGCTTATTGGTTGAGATGGGTTCTCACTTTCTTTTTGCCTGGAGCAGCCTCAAACTGATATTTCCCCATCTCTCCTTCCCAAGTAGATGGGATTATAGGCATGTACTAACACATTCATCCTTTTTTATAAAGGCTCTTGATACATGTTATCAAGTTCCTTTTAAAAACAATTACACCACACGAGTGTACGCATTTTACTAATTTTTTCAGTGTTATTAAAAATATTTTAATAAGTTGAGTAGACACAGAGAATTCTTTGTTTTATTCATTTTCATTTGGCTATCAGTAAGGTTGATTGATTTCTCTGTTTACTTTTTGAGACATACATTTAAATAACATTAAACATTTATGGATAAGATCACCATGAAGCTGAGCTGTGAGCTTACAAGATCCTTTTGGAGCTGGGTGGTTCATGCCTGTAATCCCACCTCCTTGGGAGGCTGAGATCAGGAGGATTGAGGTTTAAGGCCAGCGTTGGCAAATAATTCGTGAGACCCTATCTCCAAAATAACCAGAATAAAATGGACTTGAGATGTGGTTAAGCTGTAGAGCTCTTGTCTAGCAGGTACAGGGTCCTGAGTTCAAACCACAGCACCACCAAAAGGAAAAAAAAAAGACACTCTTACTAACATTCTTCATGTAATTCTAAGACTGGTCAAGGTTACTCATTCATTCATTCATTTTCAGTGCTAGGGCCTCACACACTAGTCCAGCGCTCTGCCATTAAGCTACATCTCCAGCCCCCTTTTCTTTAAAAAACTGTCCATTATGCCTTTCCATGGCTCTGTTTTACATGAGTAATTCACATCAACAACCACTGCCATGTCTTCCTTCATGGTTTATGAGCTTTGTAAAGTTGTTACAGTTCTGGGTTGAGCTCCTCTGTCTCCTTGGCCAGTTCTGTCCCTATTGACTTGGTAACTGCCCCATTTGGTAAATCCATCCAAAAATAGTATCTTTGAAGCTGGGCACTGGTAGCTCACGCCTGTAATCCTAGCTACCATATTTTTTGAGCCTCCAGGGGTAGATGCCTGGGACCTGGCAGGGACTCTATTCATGTCATCATGGAGTTGATATGGTGGGGTGGTGGTGTGAAAGATAGCACCCCTCAAAAAGAAGCAGAAGGTGTCTGTGAAAGAAACTGATGCAGAACCTTGGCTGTGGGTGAAGAGGGGGGATTCACACATTACCTGCCCTGTTCTGGTTTTTTCTTTTTTTTTTGGTGAGACTGGGGTTTGAACTTAGGGCTTTGCACTTGCAAAGCAGGTGCTCTACCACTTGAGCCACACCTCCAATCCATTTCTCTTGGAGATGGGATCTTGTGAATTTCCTGCTGAGGCTGATCTCAAACCTTGGTCTTCCTGATCTCAGCCTCCCAAATAGCTGGGATCACAGGTGTGAGTCACCACACCCAGCTCAATTGCCCTCTTGACAGTATTTTAATTTTTTTGGTGGTGGTGGTATTTGTTTTGTCTTGTTTTGGAAGTTTTAGCCAGGATTTATTTTAGTATACCAAGGTCAAGAAGGGAGAATTAGGGAAAAACATTTCCTGCTCATGAAGGAAATGAGAGTAAAGACTGGTACTGGGGCTTTGAATACAGAACCTGTGCTTGCTCGGCAGGTGCTCTCCCACTTGAGCCACACTACCAGCCCTTTTTGCTTTACTTTGACTTTCACATAGGGTCTTGTGCTTTGACCTGGATTGGCCTGGGGCCTCAAACCTGGATTCTCCTACTTCTGCCTCCTGAGTAGCTGGGATTACAGGCGTGCACAGGCTTGTAGACCAGTGCACGTGTCTTCCAGTGCCCAGCCACGTTGGGATTTATTGCTGGCTCAATTCTCTTTGCTCCCTGGCTTTGTTTCCTGATCATGTATTCCCAGCTCCATGTCCCCTTCATAAACCTTTGCTTCCCACCCTTCCGGTTCCTGTCATTTCTCCCCATCCAATTCTGCCTTTTCCTTCGACCTCATTCTACCTGCCTAACTCATGTTGGGGCAATGGAGCCCCTCCCTGGTTCCTGCCTTGCCCCCCATTTCAGAATTCCTTTTGCTCCTTCCACATAGAACACTTTTTTCTTGTCTGTATTGTTGCCTAACCTCTATGACTCTCACCGCTCTTCTGAGCAAGGCTCTTTTCTTTGGTCTTGTTTTTTTCACTGAACAAATACCCAAAGATTTGTTCTTGACATTCTCATTGGCATCAGGTGTCTCCTCGTGGCTTCGGTTACATCATAGTTTCATCTGCTCTTCTTCTTTTTCCTTAGAGTTTATTTTTCTTTTGTTAAAGAACTGACAACAGGCTGGGTGCTGGTGGCTTACGCCTGTAATCCTAGCTACTCAGGAGGCAGAGATCAGGAGGATCAAGGTTCGAAGCCAGCCTGAACAAATAGTTTGTGAGACTCTTATCTCAAAAAAATCCTTCACCAAAAAAGGACTGATGGCGTGGCTCAAAGTGAAGGCCCTGAGTTCAAGTGCCAGTACTGGGAAAAAAAATGACAACATAGGCATTTGTCCTTTTTTTTTTGTAGGCAATGACAAAAGAACTAAGAATATAAAAATGAATGTTAAGAAGAGAATTTCAGAATTCTCAGAAGCAGACATGGATCTGTCAGGGAGAACCCAGAGGGAAGGTTCTCAAGTTCAAGGTTTTGGCGAAGGCTGTGAACGAGACGGCAAGACAGACAGAAAACAGGGAATTCCCGTGAAAGAAATTCTAGGACAACCATCCTCCAAGAGGCTGAGCTGCAGCGATGCCATCTGTGTCCACAAAAAGTCCTCTGCAGGAGAGAGGCCGCACAAGTGCAATGAATGCGGAAAGAGGTTCATCCAGAGTGCACACCTCATTCAGCACCAGCGCATACACACGGGGGAGAAGCCATTTCGGTGTGACGAGTGTGGCAAGAGCTACAACCAGCGCGTGCACCTCACACAACATCAGCGGGTCCACACCGGTGAGAAGCCCTACAGCTGCCCCCTGTGCGGGAAGGCCTTCCGGGTGAGGTCCCACCTCGTGCAGCACCAGAGCGTGCACAGTGGGGAGCGGCCCTTTAAGTGCAGTGAGTGTGGCAAGGGCTTCGGGAGGCGCTCACACCTCGCCGGCCACCTTCGACTCCACTCGAGAGAGAAATCCCACCAGTGTCACGAGTGTGGGGAAATCTTTTTCCAGTACATCAGCCTCATTGAGCACCAGGTGCTACATGTGGGGCAGAAGGATGAAAAAAATGGGGTTTGCGAAGAAGCGTCCAGTTGGAACTTGACAATGATGGAGGATAAAAAGATGGAGTTACAGGAGCAGCCTTATAAGTGTGATGTCTGCGGGAAAGCCTTCAGTTACACTGCAGACCTTATTCAGCATTACAGAACTCACACTGCAGAGAAAACCCATAAATGTGACCTGTGTAGAGAAAAGGGTGGCCAGTGTTCCCACGTAAAGCAACATTCTAAAATCTACTCCAGTACAAAACCTCATCAATGCAGCGAATGTGGACGAGGCTTCACTCTGAAGTCACATCTCAACCAGCATCAGAGAATCCATACTGGTGAGACGCCCTTCCAGTGCAAGGAGTGTGGCGTGAGTTTCAGCTGGAGTTGCAGTCTCTTTAAACATCTCAGAAGCCATGAGAGGACAGATCCCACAAACACTGTAAACGTGTAGGCGTTTTATTGCAAACAGCCTAGTTTTACAGAGGCCTTCCAGAAGAGAAACCTCCTACTGTACTGAGCATAACAGCATGAAGCATTTTTCCAACAAAACCATCAAACCTGTGGTGAAGTCCTTCGGCCTGGAGGGACACTGGCCTGTCCACAGTAAATAAATGCCTGTTGGCTTTCTCTGTTGAGAAACGCTGTGGTTAGCATCTTGAAAGTGTAGACAGACAACCTGTGGGAATTTTGGATGAAGGAATCCTTCAGATGATAGTCATTGTTTATTTCAGACTCAGAAAATTTGACACACAGAAAAGCCTCATGAATGCTGTAGAAATAAGCTTTATTTGTAGTTTCTGCCTTGTTCAATAGCATATCTATTCAGGGAAGACTTCAGTGAAGGAAAGAACTCTCCAGCATGATAAGTTCATTTTGGTACCTCAGCAAGGAGCCGTTTCTAGAAACAATGACTCCAACCACTGGACTACACTAGTCATTGTTCCTGTCTTGAGTATTAAACCCTTTGAAAAAGAAATTGACTTAAGGCATTTATATTTTGATAAAATTTGGGTTCTTGAGCTAGATGGGGTATATTCCTGCTGCCCCTTTCAATCTACAACTTTCCCATGAAACACTACCTTGTTTTCATTTTGATTCTACTCACAACAAGGTTAGTCGGTAGGAAGAGGAGTTAAATTTGTAAATTTATAAGAAACTCTGCCAGTTGGTCACAGCCTAAGTTGTAGGAGAGGTACCCTGGTAGGATAGAGAAAAGACAGGCAGAACTATGAACTGGCTTACACTGTAGTACTCACAAGAAGGAAGGCAGCTAAATCCATAAAAGGAATGGGACCAAGTGGAATTAAAAATCTTGGCTCAGCTGGGTGCCAGTGGCTCATGCCTATAATCCTACTCAGGAGGCAGAGATCAGGAGGATTGCAGTGTGAGGCCAGCCTGGGCAAACTGTTCTCAAGGACCCATCTCCAAAATAACCAGAGTAAAATGGACTGGAGGTGTGGCTCATGTGGTAGAACACCTGGTTTACAAGTGTGAAGTACTGAGTTCAAACCCTAGCACCACCCAAAAAAAAAAAATCTTCTTTAAGCGGTACATGTACTGATTGCTAGGTACATTGGGAATAGAACTCCCCTGTAGGGTGATGGTGTATAAAATTAGTTTCAGTTTGTTAAAGCTGGAATTGAATGACCTTGAAGGGAGCAGGGGAGGGACATGGTCCTGTTAGCACTGCTGTGTGGGAAGATCCTGTAGGATTTTTAAAAAATCTCACTAGGTAGCTCCATCTGGTCTGGAACTCGCTATGTAGCCCAGCCTAGCTTCGAACTTGTGATCATCCTACCTTAGCCTCTTAAATGCTGGGATTACAGGCATGTGCCATCACACCCCCAGCCTCAGTAGGAATTTTGAGGGGGAAAGATGACATGGACAGTCTGGCATTCGTGGCTTATGCCTATATTCCTAGCTGGTAGAAAAAAACCCATCACACAAAAAAGGGGCTAGTGGAGTGGCTCAAGGTGTAGGCCTTAAGTCCAAACCCCAGTTCCAAAAAAAAATTGCTAGAGTGCTTCTCGGCATCAGCTTCTACTGATTTTGCCTGGTACCCAGTAAGTATTTGTTGGCCATGTGTGAGCACTTCATGGTGGTGCCCTGCCTAGACCTCTACCAAGCTGGCACACCCCTCCCAGCCGCTCTTCCTTTGAGCCGCTTCTCCAGAGATTGGGGAATTGCTCTTGGAAGGTAGGAATTACTGTGTCACCCAGAAGTTCTCCCTCTGTGTCCCCACCCAATGATACGGGGTACAAAAGGCTGATTTTGTTGCAGGAATGTTACAAAAAGTATGACTGACCAGCGAGAATAAGACTCAAACCCAGGTGGTTGGAGGAAAGGAAGGTTTATTACGCTAGCTGGGCAGCACCTGGGTATCTCCAAAATGGCACAGGGCCTGGGCTCAGGGTGGTTGAGGTTTTTATACTGAGAAAAGCCGCAGCAAGCAAGCAGGGAGTGCAGAAGCAACTTGGCAGTTAGCTGTTCAAGGTTACAATACAGCATGTCAGCACAGCTGTGGACGAAGGCCATCCGCACTTTCTGATGAGATAGCTGTGGATGCAGGGGCCCCAGCTAAGGGGAAGGGCTTTACTCATCTTTGATTCTTTTCCCAGCGTTGATCTTTCTCTGGGTTTCCTTATCATTCCCTTCTCTTATCCATCATAATCCCTTATGACCGTTTTGGGGGCGTCATCTAGGGGCAGTCTTTGGTACTGTCTCACTAACTATAATTTAACAGCGTCCATCCGGTTGTGAATGAACCTGGCAAGGAGGCTTATCATACAAGGCCCTAGGAGCAGTAGTAAGAGTAGCACAGGGAGGGCACCTGCTGGGGGAGCTGCCCATGGGTCTCAGCTCCTCCACCCCGCACTCCAAAACATTTCCTGGTTTCTTGTCTTGAGTTTTTCTAGCAATTGGTGAGCATTTTCTCTCACTATCCCTGACTGGTTTGCATAAAAGCAACATTCTTCCCTAGGAACACACAAATTGCCCCTCTCCGCAATAATGAGGTCCAGGCCCCGGCGGTTTTTCAAGACTACGGCTGCCAGTGAGTCTAACTGATTATGCAGGGTGACAGTGTTCTGCTGTACTAATCCTAGATCCTCATGGATTTGTTCAGATAATGGCTATGCTGCACTTGTTGGTGACCAATGGCAGTAGCCCCTGTAGCTGTTGCTCCTGCCAGGGGGACTCCCAAAAGTACCGGGAAGAGGATGGGGTCCCGCCAGAAGTGGGTCTGACCTTTAGTCTGCTGGTTCAGGTACTGGGCAACTTCAGTCCCAGGAAGTGTGTCCAGGTCCAGGACTAGGAAAACTAAGGCACAATCTCCCCCAGGATAGCAAGTATGGAGCCCGCCCTGGCAGGCAAAGTACGTTCCGTTGGGCCCTTGGCTCCTTTTATTAAATTAATACAGCCTCTCCCTTTGCCAAAGCATTTAGTTTCTCCAATTATTTGGACAGCCGGGCCTGTGAGGCAGGGGTGGTCATGCTGGGTGGAGTTGTCTAGGCCCAGCTTACGTATTTCTGATAGGTTAGCCAGGTCCACCCCGGCATATGACATTTGACTGGCCCTCAGACAAATCCAACAGTCTTTATCTAGTTCAGGGTTTGCTTGCTGTATTAGTTGATGGCTGCTGTTTGCCAGGGACATCATCTTAATAAGAAGGGTGTCAGGGTGTAATGGGGGCCGATTAGTCCCATCTAAAGAGGGAGGAAGGACTTGCCCCTGCACCCAGGGGTTCAGGGATTTGGCTTTACTGACTGGGAGAGAGTGATTTGTTGCTTTAATCTCAAGTCTAAGGGTCTTTAAGACTGCTCGACTTTTCCAATCACGTCTGATGAACCATCCCAGTACAAAGACCCTAGTTGCCCCTCATTGAGCCTCATCTATTAACTGGAAAAGGTCTCCTCTTCTTTCGCCTTGTCCCCTGGCGTGCTCCTTTTTGTTGTAGTTGCTTGAGGATAGCCTCTGAATACTAACACCCTGGCCTTTGGTGGGGGTTCCCTCCCAAGCCCCCGGGGAGGCAAAATCAACACATAACCAGTATTGTAAAAAGGACCATGAGGGCCCCACAGTCATTCCAGGTCCGTGGTATTCGGTCATACACATTGGATAAGCGATCTTTGAATTGGCCAGAACAGACTAGGGTGGTGGGCCCTAAGTGAGCTGTTGCTCTGACTTCTGAGTCTAGGCAGTACCTAAAGGAGACAACACAAGGGCCTGACAAAGCACAAATGGTGCGGTTAATTAATATTCCCTCCCGTCCTTCTAAGAGTCTGACCTCCCATACTAGCTTATGGAAGATCACAGTAGGGCCCCGAGGCCTTACTTGCGAGTCAGTCATTATGGTCACAGCCCCTTCAGCAGGATCAGCAGGTCTGTCTGACGCCTCATCAGGACTTCCTTGGGTCAAGGTCAGAGGCTGGTCTGGGTTGGCTCGAGATCTCCACTTCTGGCCTGGATCCTCTGCTGGCTTAGCGTGTGTGTGACAGTTTTACTCCTGCAACCTTAAGAGCTGAAGGGTGGTTAGAATGACTTGGTAAGGTCCCTCCTATCGGGGGTCTAGACTCCCTCTAACTGGGGTTTTGACCCAAACCCAGTCTCCCGGGATCCACGGGTGTAGAGGCTTGAGGGTCATGGAGGCCGGCTCTGGATTTCCTAGGTGTCGAGCAATCTCCCTAGAGGTGTGTACAAAGCCTCTTAGGAACCTGTGGAGGCTGATCTGTCCATACTCTCGAAGGTCTCCAGCCTGCCCAGGTATTAGTGGTGGCGGCCGTCCATATAGGACTTCAAAAGGGGAGAGGCTGCATTTCCTGGGTGTGCATCTGATCTTGAATGGGGGTAAGGGCAATACATCTGGCCAGGGCAGCCCTGTTTCTTGACATTGTTTTGCCAGTGCTGTTTTAATAGTGCTGTTCATCGTCTCTACTCGGCCTGATGATTGCAGGTGGTGTCAAGTATGTAAGTCCCAGGTCAGGCCAACTGCATGTGATATTCCTTTGATCACCTGACTGACAAAAGCAGGCCCACAGTTTGACCTGATGCTGCTAGGCACCCCAAACCGGGGAGTGATTACCTTGGCTAGTGCTCTTCATACCTCTGCAGCTTTCTCCGTGTGGGTGGGGTAGGCTTCCGCCCAGCCTGTAAAAGTGCAGACCACACCAGAAGGTACCGATAAGTTTTGCTCGGTTGGATTTCAGTGAAGTCCATTTTCAGGTATTGGAATGGATAGACTCCTCTCTTCTGGACGAGTAGCGGGGGCTTGGGCCCCTGTCCTGGGTTGTGTTGGGCACAGTGCAGACAAGCCTTGCTGGCCAACTGAGTTAGAGTCACCAATTGAGGAATGACCAGATATTTTTTGTAACAGTCCTTATAGGGAGGTTTTGCCCAAATGGGTGATTTCGTGTGCCAGCCTTACCAGGCCTGCAGCTGCCTTTTCTGATATTAGGATCCTTTCTTCCAGGGTGATGAACCAGCCCTCTGAGTTTTCCTAGGCCCCTGTTTTATGGGCCTCTTTTCTTTCTTGTGGGCTGTATTGTGGCCGTCTGGAGGATAGGGAGGGTGAAGCATACTTTGGCTGATGTAGCATCTTTTTCTTGGACTTCTTTTAAGAGGGCTGCCTCCTTTGCTGTCCTGTCTGCTAGTCCATTTCCCTGGCTGATTTTGTCTGGTCGGTTTGTATGGGCTGGACAGTGGATGACAGCAATGGCTCGGGGCTTCCAGACTGCCTCCAACAAGATTTGTTGGCTGTTTTTGACCTCTTTACCTCCAGACGTCAGTAGGTCTCTCTCTTTGTAAATGGCCCCATGGATATGTAAGGTGGCAAAGGCATAATGTGAGTCAGTGTAGATGTTGGCTCTCTTTCTGTCTGCTATGGTGAGGGCTCGAGTAAGGACATATAATTCTGCCTGTTGAGCTGACCAATGGTCTGGCGGCCGTCCATGTTCCACTAC